TGCTGCTATTAGTATTTTTCAAATATTTCAATCTATTGAAATGCTTTCATCTTTATCTTTATCTTTCCCCTATGGAGTACTGAAGCTTGAAGTTAGAGTTGCAAGTTTCTATGCAGGTAAGAACTCGGAAAATTTCAAGTCCATTTATATATATTTTTTATGCTTTAAAAAATGTTACTTGAAAAAATGTGGATGCACAGTAAAACAATTGCCTGCTACAGAGTATTAGAAGCTATTGCATTTGATGTTCAATTTTAGTTGGTAGGTTACATGAACCCAAGCAATTTGGTTTACTTAATAATGATAGGAAAACCCAGTTAATAACCCACTAAATATGGTTTCTAGTAAATGTGCCTCATAGTTCCCTTTGCTTCCTTCCTATCAAATGGTATAACTAAAAACACACTCCCACACATTAAAAAAAACGTTACAGAATTTCCAGTGTTCTTATATTTTATTTACTTGTTTGATAGTTATATCCTGCCTTTGTTGTTTTTATAAATAACTCAAGACAGCGAACATATCCAACAATCTCTCCTCTTATTTTCCCCACAACAATCCTGTTAGATGAGTTGGACTGAAACAAAGTGGCAGGCCAAAGGTCACTCTGCTGACTTCCATGGATATATTTGCAAATTGCCTATATGCACTAGGATAGAGTCAGCAGATAAAGTACACAAATAACTAAAAAATAAAATCTATGAAAATGACTGTTGCTTATTGCCATCTAGAAGTATTTTAAAAATGAGTCTCAAATGAACCAGGGATGTTTTCTAAGCCAGTGAGAACAAGCAGAAATGTACATTGATAAATTATACAAATAGACTTCAACTTACTATTTTCTCAGTGACCCTACGAAGTTAAGATGGTGCTGAATAAATGGTAGTTATGCCAAGTTCCTAAAGTTACCATTGCTGCAGCACCCCACTATTACATAATCAAAATTCAGGTACTTGACAACCACAGGGGCAGTTCAACCCCACCCCTACCTACCTATCTCCTTCTATCTCTGCCCTCTTGGTAGCCCTGCAATCTGGTGGCTCAGCCAACTAGCTTGTGCCCTGTTGTGTGCCCTTTGTTAACTGGCTCTATAGCCCCTGCCAAATAAAACCACAATAAAAATCCAAATCCAAATAAAATCACCATATCCAAATGAAAGCCACAATCATAATATTAAAATAATATAGCATGCACCATGCACTAGAGCTTATCTAACATCCCTGGCCAAAGCCAAATTTAAAATCCTTGCTGAAATAGCAACAAGGTTTCAGCCATCTGAAACTTATAAGGAATGATGTTCTATATGACGGGTGCTGCAACACCTTTAAAAAAAAGTTTTCCCCCTTTCTTGAGTTATTCTTTTCAAAATTACTTAAAGCTTTTATGATTGTTCCCTCTTACCACCCTTCCATTACTGATTTGCCATTTTCAGTGTTGATTCTGTATATTTTAATTATGATTTTCAGATGAGTTAACCACTGAAATAGAATTACAATAAAAAGAATATTTTAATTTAATATTTTAATCAATATGAGGCACACTATATAAAAGACTGTAAGATAATTCCATTGTAGATCTATTCATAGTTAGAAGAAACTAAGGACATCTCAGAAAACAGATTTCCTTGTGGGAACTTGCTTTGCTTCTCCAGATTAATATCTAAAATGATATGCTGTTAGCATACAGATCACACACAAAGAACTTTATTAATACACATACTAAAAATGTATGTGAATAATGAGAAATCTCTCAGATTTACAAAGGTAGTGTACAAATAAATACATTTGACACTATAATATGAATATGTCATCATTTTTTAATTTAATGTGACTTCAGAAAGATCATAAAGAAATGTATGGAACAGGAAAAGATATATATCTTTTCCTGTTCCATAGTCAGGGCACTAGTTATTATTTTAGTAAGCTGCTGGACCAAATTGAAAATGCTGCTGATGACTTCCACGGCATTATATTGTTACATCAAGTACCGGCTTGTTAAATTTGAATCTGCATATCTAGTACGAAGTTCACATGGCCCCCTAGAGTCTACAAAAAGTGAAGGGGGTGGATCAGGCAGCAGATTCCTTGTGCATCCAGGCCAATAAATAATTCTATTCAAGAATGTATTTTGAAACTCTTCACCTCCAAAGTTCAAGCAGCTCCTTGCCTCCTAATATTTCATAAAATTGATTAAAAACATTATTTCATCATACTTTTAAGCAGGGTTGAATATTTTGGATAGCTGTTGCTTCAGCATTTTTAGTCTATTATACAGTATTTGCTGGAGCAGGATACCAGAACTGTGAAAAATCCTTCATATTACTTTAGTTTTTGTACTGATTGGTTTAAAAGAGTTTTCCAAATTCATTTGCTGAGCTACATATGGATTTGAATCTGGATTTCTGCAGTCTTTGTTTAATATCTTAACAGCTACCCATACTGGTTCTATCCCGTTTTAACTTTATTTTCTAAAGTAAATATGCCCTTTTTTGTAAGATGTAGCAGTAAAAGTACAGGTAGTCCTCACTTACCAACCACAAATGAGACCAGCAACTCCCATCACTATACAACATGGTTATAAAGTGAAAAATTGCACAGATGTGCCCAACTGATGTCACTTGTGGCTGCAATTGTTAAGCAAACCATGTAGGTTAAGTGCAACATCATGTGAATGCAGCTTGCAACTTCCTGCTGGCTTCCCCACTGATTTTACTTGTTGAAAGCTAGCTGTGAAAGTCGCAAATGGCAAACATGGGACCACACAAAGCTGCAACTCTTGTAAATGTGCACTGGTTGTTAAACATCTGAATTGTGATCATGCAAATGTTCTTTTTCAGTACCATTATAACTTTAAATGGTTGCTGAATGAGCCATTGATAAATGAGGAATACATATATATTAATATTTTGTGTTATTTTTGTACCACTATTTAAGAAATACATGAATTATCACCAAAGTCAAATATGGTCCAACTGCACTCCCAAATGTCAATTTCCCACTATTAAAAAAAAAACCTGCATAAAATTGTCATATATACTAAAATAGTCCTTTTTCTATTTTAGATCATTTCAAGTTTGAAAATAAAAATATTCTGTGCATTCTTCAAAAAGTATACAGAAGATCTGCATAGCACTGCTCTAGTATTAAGGAAGCTTGGCTATTGTTTTGAGCCTCAACATATGTGTGTGGGTGGGTGTTGCTCCATGAAAGAGCTGACTTATTAAAGTTAATGCAATTGTTAATTAAACAGCTGTTTAATGAAAAGAGAAGTGTGCTGTGTTAAGATCAGATCCAAAGGATTTCTTCCAAATCAAGGTTTGTAGCTATGTAAATATATGCCTATTTCCTTTTAGATTCCTTTTTCCCAATCTTAATTTATTTTGTTACAAGGTATTATTGACAAGGGAGTCCCTGGGTTTATCAACTTTTATAAACCATTCTGAGAGGTTTATGCTTTGTATAAACAAGCATTCATTTTTAGTAATCTCAGAATGAAAAATAAGGCTCAAAATTACCATTGCTCCTCAATTGCTAATAAAGGCAGGATTACATAATTGCACCATTTTTAGTTGCCAAATTTTTAATGTCTCTTTTGCAAATAACTATAGCTGCTATACATAAGCAACATGATTATATTTGGACATCCTGCCTACTCAAAAGCAAATTACAGTATGTATACTTCATTATGCATGAACCAGGCCTAAAAATCAGCCTTCTACCAGCTGCAATGTCCCTTATACTCTGGACTTCTCTTATAATTCTTTATCTGGTCTGCTTGGGGAAAGTTGGCTAATTCCATAAATCATTACAAAAAAATTACATTTCACTGGAAAATACAAAAACCTAGAATACAGAACTGCCAAGAATATATTAGCCATCCCCTTTCAAATGTTTTTTTTTTTAAGTTTGAAGGAACTATTTGGCTTTAGCTTTGTACATACTTGATAATGTCAAACTTTATTATATCTCTTTCTTATATTAACAAAATGAATAATGTCTTGTTGGGGGATACATACACCTTCAAGTACAGCCACTTTAACAGGCAACCACCGCTTCTTAGGAAAAGCAAATACATGGAATCCAGAAGATTTAATTACCACATTGCTATATCTATATAAACAGATCAGATGACAAGTTATTTCAAGAGAAAATGATAATAAACAAGAGACTAAACTCAACCCAGGCAATATAAACTAACAGTACAAATAGGTATAGCAATTAGGGGGAAAAATCAAGCCTAGAAATGCTGAAACGAGACTGCATATTCTCCATATTAAGATGCTGAGGCCAAAATAAAGTAATTGCCTCAAACCATCAGTTAATGTTAAAAAACTATGTTAAAAAAGGCTACCCTTTCAGTTCAATTTCCGAGCAACTCTATTCTAAACCTTTGTGTTTGTCCATTAACTCGCCAATCTCCAAGGAATGGCATTTTTGCTGGAGCACCTTCAACTAAAAATCCGCAAGAGAAGTGTTTAGCCTCACTATACGTAATGGGAGATTTAGACAGTAACTTTTCAAGCGTGGCAGGTTTGAGGTCTAGAATGGGAAACTATCGGGGCGTTGTTACGCTCCGTCACCATATATATTTTTAACCTCACCGAAGCATTCGCCGAACAGCGCTCTTTCAGGCCTAAAAAAACCCTCATTAACCCACCCCAACCGCTCTTCTTGTGATTCACATCTACCAGGGTGGTAATGGCGTTGCCGCTCAACGAAATTGGGGAAACTGGAAGGGTAGTAACACTCAAGAGGCTTGACAGGAACCACGGCGGAGACCCGGCCGCCGGTGTAGGCCTTAGTAGGCCGGCGTCAAGCTGCGGGCGGTCCCTAAGTCGAGCACCTCCCACTCTTCAGCAGTCACTACCACGTCGGCGCAGCCAACACTGCGGAAATGGAGCGGCTGAGGCGGGCGTTGCGCAGGCGGCTCGGCCCTGAGGCCGGGCTTCCCAATTCCGCAGCGGCTCTTTCCCTCCTCCCCTCCCCCTTTTGCTTTCTCACCTGTGTCCCCGATTATGATATACTTGAAGAGATACGCGTAGGCCATGTCTTCCCGATCCCCGTCGCTTCACCCTCCTGCCTTCTCCGGTAGAACTGTCGCTCCTCTGTGGCGTGGCGTGGCGTGGCGCGGCGCGACGTGACGCCCCCTCCGCCCTTCTATGTCAGAGCTCGCGCTACGTAAGATTTGAAGCCGTTAGCGACTTCCTTTCCCCCCCCCCCTCCGCGCGCGCCGCACGACTTCCAACTACCCCCTACCCCACCCCCTTTCCGAAGCTGTCACCAGCAATTTCTCACGTCGGCCCTTCGGCTGTACCGGCGCGCGCGCCCCACTTCCTTTTCTCTCGCCGCGTCTCCGAAGAGGCTCGTAAACGTCCCGAGGCGAGAGATGGGAGCGACCGGAGGGGGAGGGATGGAGCGGGGCAGGAACAATAACAGGCAGTAAGGCTCCTACACGGTTAGGCAACGTCACGAAGCGCTCTTCGCCAACCCGGAAGTGTTTGAACCCTTCGTGGCCTCGTCTGGGCGGGGGGCGGAGCCTTGGAAGTGACATACGGGCGGAGGCTTAAGAGCTTGGGGCGTGGAAGGGAGGGGTCTCGATGGTGGATCCGAGTCACGTGAGAAGGGAGGTCGCGGAATGCCCATAAGAAATAACCGGATCTCTCCGTGGGGAATGAGGAGAGCTAAGAAAGGCCGTTGACGAGACTCCTCTGTTGAAATCAGTGGAAAGCTGAAATTAAACTGGCGGAATGCCTTATGAAAACAAGTTGGAATGGGCTAATAGAAATAACCGACTTGGCATAGATTGCATTGCTTTGTGAATTACAAGCATGTAAAATGATAAATGATACGGTTTGAATTGAAGGGCAGGAATGGGGCTGAAATAAAAGCCTTCGCATTAAAAAGAATGGCCAGGAGCAACGGGCTTCTTGTTGGGGCGGGGGGAGAGAGAAATAGGAGGATGGTGTGTTGGATATGTTTGCCGCCTTGAGTTATTTGTAAAGTAATAAAGGTAGGATATAAATAAGCCAAGGACCTACAAGGGCGACTGGAGTGGGAACAGGAATCTACTTATGTAGAAACCAATGATACAAGATTGGAATAGTAGCTCCTGTAAGTACTGTTAGGGTAGTTTAATGGCAGAAATGATGGATTCTGGAGAAAAAGTGTCAGTCCAAAGGCTAGGAAGATGGCTCTTAAAAGACAAAAAAGATCAGGCTTACTATCCCCAGAAATAGGAGGAACTGGCATCATTCCTGGTACTGGAATGACAGTCAAGATCACAGAACAGACCAAGGACTAGAAAAACCTTCCTAAGGCTGTATGGGCCTGGCATGTAATTGAAGAATAAACTCTTGAAAATAGGCGAAATGTGTTATTCACAAGCATTTTCGTTCTATTTAACCTTTCTAGGACTGTTATTCCAGTCATGCAACTCATACTTTTAAGGCTCAGCATTATCCAATTTCATGCCTTTCTATTATTCTGCTCTCAATTTTAGCCTTGCCCTTTCAGATGCAGTAATGTTTGCCAATGTATGCTACGGTATCACTGTATTTCAGTTACCTGGGATGATCATTTGAGACTTTGGCCTGATGCATTATGATATTTTAGAGCCTTGATCAGGCATACACATCTCTTTGGGAACAGGTTTAAATGTTGATTTTATATAAGACTAGCAGTCTTTGTACAGCCTTATATGTTAAGGAATGAGCTTGGAGTTGGGGAGACCAAGCCAGAAATGGCTTGGATTGGGGTGGGTATTTGCTTAACAATCTGTGATTCTCAGCGACAGAAATAAGTGCTCCACTAGATAAACTCTTGACCTAATCCAATAAGGCTCCTTAAGGCCATCATACATGTTGGTACTGCATAAGTAAATACTGTGCTACTGGCTACTACCCTATTTCTCCAAATTTGAGTTGCAAATCTCACAGTATGACGACACACTGACTGGATGGTTGTCAGAGCGCTTTCCTGAGTACTCTGAGCTGTTTTTTCCAGAGAGAAAATTCACAAGTTGTAGAATTGTAAAAGCAGTTTAAGAAAATACATTTTAAACTAAAACAGCTTTCCTCTCTTTCTAATTCCATTAAATGTGTGTGGCTGTCTTCAAAGAGAAATGCAAATTTCAGAATTTCTGCAAAAGCAAGGAAATTCATCCTTCCCATTAAAAACATGTTTTAAAAATTAATTCAGCTTTTGCTTCCTCTAGTGTATTTTGTAAAGTTGTATTTTACTTTATAAAGTCATAAGGTTATATCACTGTTTTATCTAATTATATATGTATGTATGTATGTATGTATGTATGTATGTATGTATGTATGTATGCATATATATATATATATATATATATATATATATATATATATATATATATACACACACACACACACACACACACATATATATATATACATACATACATACATACATACATACATATATACACTACTAACTTTCTCACTCTGTTTGCCTGTTTGTATCTCATATTAGTTCAGATGGTCCATTATATGTTAAATTTAAAAAAGCTGGAACTCATTACTCCTATGAAATTGATAGCTCTGTGATGTTCACACCAGTATGATTTCAAAGTTGTGGCTGCTGCAGCATCCCTACAGTCATGTAATCATGATTTCCTACACTCCCTGCTAGCTTCCCACAAGCCAAGTCAATGGGATAACCAGCAGGAAGTTGGAAGTTGTCCCCACTCCCGCATCATTCTGTTTTTCTGTTTAGGTAATTAAATGCTGACTAAGTATTGTACTTTGTTTGCCAGTACAATTATTTTTCTATTTATGATATATACTCTTCTTAAATGATCATGGGTCAATACAGCAATGGCGTAAAAGAAATATTGTCAGCCTAAAATTTAATATTTATTCTGATCACATCAGACTTCGCTGTCTCAAAGGACCCAATGGCTTCACAGGATTCTCTAGTATAGATTAAAATGTAACTAAAAATTAACAATTTAGAATGTAATATAATTCTTTTGCCCGTAAAAGAATTGACCCTAATATTAATGAAACCATTACTTTTATTGGTGGGGGAAGAATTTCATAATTTCATTTTCTTATTTTATTAAATCCCAGTACTGTTTCATAAAGTTTGAGAATTTCTGGCATATGAATAAATGCAATCCATACTTATTGGCAGATGTAACTATCTAAGCATTATGAAATATCAACAAGACAGTTTCAGAATATTTCAGTCCTGTGACACAATGATTGTATCATCTATCCATGAATGTGCTGTTTAAATTGTCTTTCTGGCATTCCCTTTAGATTTTTTTTAAAGATAATAGTTTGAATGGGGATTGTGTTTTCTGTAACAGCACATATGTAGCTCGGGGGTAGGTTTTTATATTGTTGGTCACATACTGGTGAACTCATATAGGCAACTCTAGTTGAGATAAACTATTTTTATAACAGCTATTAATTCTGAATGCCATTTACAATTTTCTTTTTAGCTTAATACTGTGTACAGGGCAAGAATGAGACATTTAGCAATAAGAACTGAATGGGTCTTTCTATACATTTAGTTATAAATAACTAAATCTCATTGAATTATAGAATAGAACTTTGAGAGCTTCAATGACATCTGCAAGTTTTTTTCATTAAAAAGAGCAAAATGTTTTATGTAGTATTTCTGAAGCTGATGCAACTAGGAACAGAGTAGGTCATTTCACAAGCAGTGCGCTTGTACTAATATTTTACAAATTATCATATGTAACCATATTTTTAATTACAGAAAATATCCCAATTCTAGGATCAGCATTTGAACATGAAACTCAAAATTTGATACCAAAGGTCACTGTAAATTAAAAAGTCCATTTTCCACAACTCCAAAATAGCAGTCCATCAGGTTCAGGCAACACAAGAGGACTGATCCTTTGGAAAATTGCTATTGCTAATCACAGACTCGTGGAACTGTAGAATTGGAAGTTAATTTGGCCTAACTTTCTGCAGTGTGTAGGAGAAGCAATTAAATTATCCATGAGTTGTGGCTGTCCATCCACCACTAGAGTTCCAGTGGTTTTTCCAGGAGTTGGAAAAACCCACAAACTCTATATATTCCCTTGTTGTACAGGTCTTATTGTCAGAAAAGGTCTCTTCACATTTAAACAGTTAGCAGTTGAAAATTATATATATTATTTTTTACTCCGATTTCTGTGGCCATAGTTCTTGATCATCTTCCATGTAGCTTCCTTCATTGGATCAGAATAAAGCTATGTCTACCTTCAGTTTTCATTTCCTCAGACTGAACATCTAAATTCCTCATAGGGTATGTCCTCTAGTCCAACAGTCCCTAATTTTTCCCATTCCACAGACTGGCAGCAGTGTCTGTGGGGGGAATGGTTTTGCATTTGCACCACTTAATCACGTGCAAGCGCAAATGGAGCTTCGTGCACTCGACCGCTAATTGTGCAGCCTGAATCTCAATGGGCTGCAGACCGGTTATCGTCCATGGACCCTTGCTCTAGTCCTTCGATTATCTACACTGCTGTCCTTGAAACCCTCGCTAAAATGTCAATAACCTTTTGAAAATTTGATGCCCAGAATTGTACATAGTACTTTAGATGTGATTTCACTAGTTCCATATAAAAAGAAATAATGAAAGACTTCACGCGTCTTTAATACATGGTTTCTTCTAATCAAGACCAGAACAGCACTAGCCCTACCAGCAGCTGACTGAAATTAATGACACATGTTCAGCTTGTTGTCTACCACACCCAAGGCCTTCTCAGATGTGTCTCCCAAGTCATGGAGTTTTATTCCTGTATGCATCTTATATTTTGTGACTAGCCAGCCAGTTGTAGATCCATCTTATTGTAATGCTATCCAAACCACACTTTAACTGCTTGTCATTTATAATTTGGTTAATATCAAAGTAAATTAGTGTCAGTATTTGTTTTCTTCAGTAGAATAGTTACCCTGTCATAGAAGGAGACAAAATTTGCCTCATGTGCTCTATTTTGACAAAGACAGGTTGACTCTTAGCATAATAATCTGTACAGGAGGACTGTTAATTGGGAGTTGTTCTCACCATCGTCTGCGCATGTGGAAAGGAGGGGAGGTTCCTGCCAAGTCCAACTGTCTGGCATACCAACCTGATGATGATTTTTGAAGATATCTCCCACCTGACAGCAATGTTCCCTCTAATTTTTTTTCAGTGTGAGCGGAAAAGTATAGTGTTTGAGCGGCACATTTT